ATCACCATTAAAAGTGTAGAGGAGAAAAAAATATCTAATAGGAAAACATAAGTTGGGGTGTTGTGCTGACTGACTGTTCTGTTCTCCTATTGGCTGTAATTTAGTGGATTTACGTTTTAGTCCACCAATCTCACAGGGGTCAGTAGGGATTGCTGGGCGTATGTAATATGGACAACAACATGACCAAGCAAGCTATAGGGCTTCTGGAGAGCCTAAAATGCGGCCGCTGGGGGCACGGTGACTCTGGGAGAATCCTGGGCTGACTGCGCATGCAAGGGCCCCAGGATCACCGACGCCTGAGAGGGACCCCTATGGGGTGCTGCTGCTCCTGGCGAGGGCCTCTGGGGCCAGTGCCCGCCCCCGAGGAGAGAAGAACCCTGGGGTGCCACTGCCACTGGGAAGGTCCTTGGTTCTCTAATGCCTGGGACAGCAGCTGGGTTTCTAAAACACTTAGCAGGGCCCCAGGGTGGCGGCCAACTCTGGGAGGAGCCTCTCGGGTCCTGCCCGCCTCTGGGAGGGCCTTTGGGGTCGCCAACACCCCTGGGAGGCCCCCTTGGGTCCTGCTTGATGTCTAGGAGGGTCCCTGGGTCGCCCGAATATTTTGGGATGGACCTGGGAGCGATGTACCTGGTAGGACAAATGGGAGGGCTCAGGGAGTCCTGCCTTGTAGGCCTTCGGGGCATTTGTTTTGCATTATTTAGAACAATGGGAGATATGACGTTAAATAAATACACCAACCACGTATTTCCAGTATAATGCACCATGAAAGTGTAAAGGAGAAAAAAATATCTAATAGGAAAACATAAGTTGGGGTGTTGTGCTTTGGCCCCATTTGACTGTTCTGTTCACCTATTGGCTGTAATTTGGTGAATATACATTTGTAGTCCACCAATCACAGTTAAGTGAGAGTTGCTGGATGTATGTAATATGTACAACAACATGACCAAGCAAGCTATAGGGCTTCTGGGAGGCTGGCGCCTCTAAAGCCCCTAAGAGTCTAACTGCCTCTGGGAGAGTCCGTTGGGTGACTGCATGCTGCAAGGGCCCCATGGTGCCCGACGCCCCTAGGGGAGGAGGACCCCATATGGGCTGCTGCTGCTCACTGGCGAGGGGACTACTCTGGGGTCAGTGCCGCCCGAGAAGAATCCTGGGGGTGCCGCTGCCCACTGGGAGGCTTGGTTCCTAACCTGGGACAGCTGGAGTTTCAAGCACAGCAGGGCCCCATGGGGTGACGCCAAATCCTTGGAGGGCCTGTAGGGTCGTCACCACTCTGGGAGGGTCTTTGGGGTCAATAGCACCCCTGGGAGGCCCTGGTCACCCGGCGTGTCTAGGAGGGTCCCTGGAGTCATGAGGAAGATTTTGGGATGGCCCTGGGGCGCCCGACCTCAGTGGGACAAATGGGAGGGCTCAGGGAGTGCTGCCCTTGTAGGCCTCCAGGCATTTGTTTTACATTTTTGAACAATGGGAAATGACCCCAAATACAATACACACTTCCATATTATATCAGTTTAATATCACCATTAAAAGTGTAGAAGAGGAGAATAAATATCTAACAGGGAAAACATAAGTTGGGGTGTTGTGCTGACTGACTGTTCTGTTCTCTTGTGGCTGTAATTTGGTGGATATACATTTTAGTCCACAATCACAGTTAAGTAAGGATTGCTGGACGTTTGTAGTATAATACAACAATATGACCAAGCAAGCTATGGGGCGGGAAGAGCTACTGGGAGAGCACAAATCTCTGACCCCTGGGGGAATCTTGGTGCCTCTGGGAGAATCCTGGGCTGACTGCCGCCTCTGCAAAAGAGCCCAGGGATAGCGACGCCCTGAGAGGACCCCTAAGGGGTGCTGCTGCTCCTGGCGAGGCACTCTGGGTGCACTGCCGCCCCGAGAGAGAAGAACCCTGGGGGTGCCACTGCCACTGGGGAGGTCCTTGGTTCTCTAATGCCTGGGACAGCAGCTGGAGTTTCCTAAAACCCTTAGCAGGGCCCCAAAGGTGAGCGCCAACTCTAGGAGGGCCTCTCTGGGATCCTCAGCGCCCCTGGGGAGGGCCTTTGGGGTCACTTCACCCCTGGGAGGCCCCTTAGGTCACCAACGTGTCTAGGAGGGTCCCTGGAGTCACTTGATATTTTGGGAAGGATGGACCCTGGGAGCGATGTACCTGGTAGGACAAATGGGAGGGCTCAGGAGTCCAGCCCATGGCAAGGCCTCGAGGCATTGTTTTACATTTTAGAACAATGAGAGATATGACGTTAAATAAATACCCCGCCCATCGTATATCGGACATATCACCATTAAAAGTGTAGAGGAGAAAAATATCTAATAGGAAAACATAAGTTGGGGTGTTGTGTGCTGACTGACTGTTCTGTTCTCCTATTGGCTGTAATTGGTGGATTTACGTTTTAGTCCACCAATCACAGTTAAGTAAGGGATTGCTGGGCATTATGTAATATGGAGAACAACATGACCAGAAGAAGCAAGCTATAGGAAAACTCTGGGGCTGGCGCCCTAGTGGCCCCTGGGGGCACGGTGACTCTGGGGAGAATCCTGGGCTGACTGCATCTGCAAGAGGCCCCAGGGATCACCGACGCCCTGAGGGACCTATGGGGTGCTGCTGCTCCTGGCGAGGGCCTCTGGGGTGTGCCGCCCCCGAGGAAGAACCCTGGGGGGTGCCACTGCCACTGGGAAGGAGTCCTTGGTTCTCTAATGCCTGGGACAGCAGCTGGGTTCACAAACCCTTAGCAGGGCCCCAAGGGTGACGCCAACTCTAGGAGGGCACTCTAGGGTCCTGCCCGCCTCTGGGAGGGCCTTTGGGGGTCATACACCCCTGGGAGGCCCCTTAGGTCCTGCTTGTGTCTAGGAGGGTCCTAGGTAAGCCGAATATTTTGGGATGGACCCTGGGGCGATAATACACCTGGTAGGACAAATGGGAGGCTCCAGGGGTCCTGCCCTTGTAGCAGGCAGCTCGGGGCATTTGTTTTGCATTATTTAGAACAATGGGAGATATGAGGTTAAATAAATACACCACCCATCGTATTTCAGTATAATCAGCGCCATGAAAAGTGTAAGGAGAAAAATATCTAACAGGAAAACATAAGTTGGGGTGTGTTGTGCTGACTGACTGTTCTGTTCTCCTATTGGCGTAATTTGGTGAATATACATTTTAATCCACCAATCACAGATAAGTAAAGGGATTGCTGGGCCATTATGTGGCTGTATGACCAAGCAAGCTATAGGGCTTCTCAGGCGCCCTGATGCGGCCTAGGGGGCAGCACGGTGCCTCTGGGAGAATCGCTGGGGTGACTGCCACCTCTGCAGGGCCCCAGGGATAGCCGACGCCCTGGGGGACCCCATGGGCTGCTGCTGCTCCTGTCTTGGGCCTCTGGGGTCGAGGTGCCACCCCGAGCACAACCCTGGGGTGCACTGCCACTGGGAAAGGGTCCTTGGTTCTCTAACGCCTGGGACAGCAACTGGAGTTTCAAAACCCTTAGCAGGGCCCCAAGGGGTGGCCAACTCCTAGGAGGGCCTGTAAGTTAGGTCATCGCCTCTGGGGAGGGCCTTTGGGGTGCTTGGACACCCTGGGAGGCCCCTGGGGTCACCAACGTGTCTAGGAGGTCCCTGGTGTCGCGGAAGATTTACAGGATGGCTCCTGAGGCGCCGTACCTGGTAGGACAAATGGGAGGATCAGGGGAGTGCTGCCCTTGTAGGCCTCTCGAGGGCATTTTGTTTTTACATTTTTAGAACAATGGGAGATATGACGTTAAATAAATACACCGCCCATGGTATAACCGGTTTCCTTATCACCATTAAAAGTGTAGAGGAGAAAAATATCTAACAGGAAAACATAGTTGGGGTGTTGTGAAGACTGACTGTTTTGTTGTTCTCCTATTGGCTGTAATTTGGTGGATTTATTTTAGTCCACCAATCACAGTTAAATGAGTTGCTGGGCGTATGTAATATGTACCTTACCATTAACAAGCAAGCTATGAGGGCTTCTGGGAGGGCAGCGCCCCTAGTGTGACCTCAGGCACCGGTGCCCCTCTGGGAGAATCCCACAGGGGTGAGATACGCCTCTGCAAGGGCCCCATGGTTGCCCGACGCCCCTCAGAGGACTCCATGGGGACCTGCTGCTCCTGGCGAGGGACTCTGGGGGCACTGCCTCCCGAGAAGAACCCTGGGGTTGCCGTTGCCCAGGAAGGGTCCTTGGTTCTCTAACGCCCCTGGGACAGCGTCTGAGGTTTCCAAAACCCTTAGTAGGGCCCTAAAGGGTGACGCCAACTCCTAGGAGGGCCTCTAGGATCGCCACCGTTTCTGGGAGGGTCTTTGGAGTCGCTGACACCCCTGGGAGGCCCCATGAGGTCACCGACGTGTCTAGGAGGGTCACAGGTCACCGAAGATTTTGGAATGGCCTGGGGCCTTGTTACTTGGTAGGACAAATGGGAGGTCTCCAGGGGTGCTGCCCATATGTAGTCCGTTGGGGCATTTGTTTTTGCATTCATTTGGATAATAAATATCTAACAGGGGAAACACTAAGTTGGGGTGTTGTGCTGACTGACTGCTCTGTTCTGCTATTGGCTGTAATTTGGTGGATTTACATTTTAGTCCATCAATCACGGCCCAGTTAAGTAAGGATTGCTGGAAGTATGTAATATGTACAACAACATGACCAAGCAAGCTATAGGGCTTCTGGGAGGCAGCGCCTCTAGTATTACGGCCTAGGGGGGTACCGCTGCTTCTGGGAGAATCCGTTGTGTGACTGCCGCTTCTGCAAGAAGGGCCCCATGGTTATCCGGCTGCCCTAAAGAGGACCCCATGGGGTGCTACTGCTCCTGGCAAGGAGCACCTGGGGGCACTGCCACCCCGAGAAAGAACCCTCTCAGGGGTGCTGTTCCACTGGGAAGGGTATTTTGGTTGTCTAGCTTGCCCTAGGACAGCATGCAGGGTTTCCAAAAAGAGCCTTAACAGGGCCCTGGGGTGACACCAGCACCTAGGAGGGCCGCCTAGGATCGCCACCGCCTCTGGGAGGCCTTTGGGGTGGACTCCCTGGGAGGCTCCCTGAGGTCACCGACGTGTCTAGGAGGGTCCCTGGACTCGCGGAAGATTTTGTGAGGGGGCCCTGGGGCCTTACGTACCTGGAGGGCCAAATGGGAGGGCTCCAGGGGTGCTGCTGCCTTAGGCCTCTCAAGGCATTTGTTTTTAAATTTTTAGAACAATGGGAGATATGACGTTAAATAAATACACCGCCCATCGTATATCAGTTTAATATCACCATTAAATTAGCCAGAGAATAAATATCTAACAGGGAAAGCATAAGTTGGGGTGTTGTGCTGACTGACTGTTTCTGTTCTCCTATTGGCTGTAATTTGGTGGATTTACATTTTAGTCCACAAATCACAGTTAAGTAAGGGATTGCTGGACGTCGTGATATGTACAACAATATGACCTAGCAAGCTATAGGGCTTCTGGGAGGGCGCGCCCTAGTACGGCCCCTGAGGGGCACCGGTGCCTCTGGGGAGGCTCCTGGGCTGACTGCCGCCTACCCAAGAGGCCCAGGGATCACCGACGCCCTGAGAGGCCCCTATGGGGTGCTGCTGCTCCCTGGCGAGGGCCTCTGGGTGCACTGCAGTCCCCGAGAGAAGAACCTAGGTGCCACTGCCACTGGGAGGGTCCTTGGTTCTCTAATGTCTGGGACAGCAGCTGGAGTTTCAAAACCCTTAGGGGCCCCAAAGAGGTGACACTCCAACTCTACGAGGGCCTCTATTGTCCCTCACCGCCTTTGGGAGGCCTTTGGGGTCGCCGGCACCCTGGGGAGCTGGTCACCAGCACGTGTCTAGGAGGGTCCTGGGTCGCCGAAGATTTTGGGATATGGGAGCGTGTACCTGGTAGGACAAATGGGGAGGCTCAGGAGTGCTGCCCTTGTAGGCCGCTTCCAGGACATTTGTTTTTGCGTGGCCCAGAACAATGGGAGATATGACGTTAAATAAATACACCGACCATCGTGGTTCCTAGCCATAATCGCACAATGAAAAGTGTAAAGGAGAATAAAAAGTATCTAACAGGAAAACATAAGTTGGGGTGTTGTGCTGACTGGCTGTTCTGTTCTCCTATTGGCTGTAATTTGGTGGATTTACATTTTAGTCCACCAATCACAGTTAAGTAAGGGATTGCTGGACGTATGTAATGTACAACAGCATGACCAAGCAAGCTATAGGGCTTCCGGGAGGCGCGCCCTAGTACATTGCGGCCCCTGGGGCACCGGTGCCTCTGGGAGTCCTGGGGTGACTGCCGGCTCTTGCAAAGGCCCCATATGGTTAGCCGACGCCCTGGGGAGGACCCGTGGGCTGCTGCTGCTCCTGGCGAGGGGGCCTCTGGGGGACTGCCGCCCCCGAGAGAAGAACCTGGGGTTGCCGATGCTACTGGGAAGGGGTCCTTGGTTCTCTAACGCCCCTGGGACAGCATCTGGGGTTTCCAAAAAGCCCTTGGTGGGGCCCCTAAGGGTGACGCCAACTCCTAGGAGGGCCTCTGTGTCCTCACCGCCTTTGGGAGGGCCTTTGAGTCAGTGACACCCCCGGGAGAGCCCCTGAGGTCACGACGTGTCCTAGGAGGGTCCCTGGAGTCGCCGAAGATTTTCGGATGGGCCCTGGGGCGCCGTACGCTAATAGGACAAATGGGAGGGCTCCAGGGAACTGCTGCCATTGTAGTCTGTTTGGGGCATTTGTTTTGCATTCATTTAAAGGAGAATAAATATATAACATTTAAACAAAAAGTTGGGAGTGTTGCTTTGACTGGCTGCTCTGTTCCTCCTATTGGCTGTAATTTTGGTGGTACATTTTAGTCACAATCACAGTTAAGTAAAGGGATTGCTGGACACGTATGTAATATGTACAACAACATGAACAAAGGAAGCTATAGGGCTTCTGGGGGTGCGCTAGTATGGCCCTGGGGGTCACCGGTGCCTCTGGGAGAATCCCTGTGGTGACTGCCGCCTCTGCAAGGGGCTCCATGATTTGCCGACGCCCTGAGAGGGACTCCATGGGGTGCTGCTGCTCACTAGCGAGGGCCCCTGGGGGTCTGCTGTCCCTTGAGAAAAGAACCCTGGGGGGTGCTGCCACTGGGAAGGGTCCTTGGTTCTCCAACGCCCCTGGGACAGCATCTGGGGTTTCCAAACCCTTAGGGGCCACCAGGGTGACGCCAACTCCTAGGAGGGCCCCTAGGGTCGCCACCGCCTCCTAGGGCCTTTGGGGTTGCCGACACCCATGGGAGGGCCCCTGAGGTCACTGCCGCCCCCGAGAAAACCCTTGGGGTGCCGCTGCCACTGGGAAGGGTGGTGATACCTCCTTCTGTCTTCTGGTGGTGGTGGTGGGTAGTGTGGTGAGTGTGGTGGTGAGGTGGTGGTGGTGGTGGTCGTCGTCTGAGTGGTGGTGGTGGTCATCTGGTGGTGGTGGTGGTGGTGGTGGTTTGGTGGTAAGTGGTAGTGTTAGTGGTAGTGGTGGTGGTGGTGGTGTGGTGGTGGTGGTGGTGGTGGTGTGGTGGTGGTGGTGGTGTGGTGGTGGTGGTGGTCGTCGTCTGGTGGTGGTGGTGGTCATCTGGTGGTGGTGGTGGTGGTGGTGGTGGTGGTAGTGGTGAGTGGTAGTGGTAGTGGTGGTGGTGGTGGTGGTGGTGGTGGTGGTGGGGTGGTGGTGGTGGTGGTGGTGGTCATCTGGTGGTGGTGGTGGTGGTGGTGGTGGTAGTGGTGGTGGTGGGTGGTCATCTGGTGGTGGTGATGGTGGTGATGGTGGTGGTAGTGGTGGTGGTGGTCATCTGGTGGTGGTGGTGGTGGTAGTGATGGTGATGGTGGTGGTGGTGGTCAACTGGTGTGGTGGTGGTGGTGAGGTGGTCATCTGGCGGTGGTGGTCGTGGTGTTGGTCATCTGGTGGTGGTGGTGTGGTGTTAGTGGTGGTGGTGTGGTCATCTGGTGGTGGTGTGGTGGTAGTGGTGGTGGTGGTCATCTGGTGGTAGTGGTGGTGGTGGTGGTGTGGTGGTGGTGGTGGTGGTGGGTGGTGGTGGTGGTCATCTGGTGGTGGTGGTGGTGGTCATCTGGTGAGGTGGTGGTTGTGGTGGTGGTGGTGGTGTGGTGGTGGTGGTGGTGGTGGTGGTTGTGGTGGTCATGTGGTGGTGGTGAGGGTGAAAGTTTGTGGTGAGGTGGTCATCTGGTGGTGGTGGTTGTGTGGTGGTCATCTGGTGGTGGTGGTGTTGGTAGTGTGGTGGTGGTTGTGGTGGTCATCTGGTGGTAGTGGTGGTGGTGGTGGTGGTGGTGGTGTGTGAGGTGGTCCATCCTGGTGGTAGTGGTGATGGTAGTGGTGGTGGTGAGGTGGTGGTCATCTGGTGGGTTGTGTGTGGTGGTGGTGGTGGTGGTGGTGGTGGTGGTGGTGGTGGTGGTCATCTGAGGTGGTGTGGTGGTAGTGTGGTGGTGGTGGTAGTGGTGATGGTGGTGGTGGTGAGGGAGGGTGGTGGTGGTGGTGGTGGTGGTGGTGGAGGTGGTGGTGGTGGTGATTGTAGTGGTGGTGGTGGTCATCTGGTGGGTGGTGGTGGTGGTGATCTGGTGATAGTGGTGGTGGTGTTTTGTCATCTAGTGGTGATGGTGGTGGTCATCTGGTGGTGGTGGTGGTGGTGGTGGTGGTGGTGAGTGGTGGTCATCTGGTGGTGGTGGTGGTGGTGATGTGGTGGTGGTGGTGGTGGTGGTGGTGGTGTGGTGGTGGTGGTGGTGTGGTCATCTGGTGGTGGTGGTGGTGTGGTGATCTGGTGATAGTGGTGGTGGTTGTCATCTGGTGTGGTGATGGTGGTGGTCTCATCTGGTGGTGGTGGTGGTGGTGGTGGCAGTGGTGGTCATCTGGTGGTGGTGAGGTGGTGGTGATGGTGGTGGTGTGGTGGTGGGTGGGGTGAGGGTGATGGTAGTGGTGGTGGTGGTGTGGTCATCCTGGTGTGGTGGTGGTGGTCATCTGGGTGGTGGTGGTGGTCATCTGGTGGTGTGGTGGTCATCTGGTGGTGGTGGTGGTCATCTGGTGGTGGTGGTCATCTGGTGGTAGTGGTGGTAGTGGTGGTGGTGGTGGTCATCTGGTGGTGAGGAGGTGGTGGTGGTCATCTGGTGGTGGTGGTGGTAGTGGTCATCTGGTGGTGGTGGTGTGGTGGTGGTAGTGGTCATCGGGTGGTGGTGGTGTGGTCATCTGGTGGTGGTGGTGGTGGTGAGATCATCTGGTGGTGGTGGGGGGGGTCATCTGGTGGTGGTGGTGAGGGTGGTGTGGACATCTGGTGGTGGACATCTGGTGGTGAGTGTGGTGGTGAGTGGTGGTCATCTATTTGGTGGTGTTGGTGGTGTGTTAATGGTGGTGTTGGTCATCTGTTGGAAGTAGTGGTGGTGTGGTGGTGGTGTTCAGCCTTCTCTCATCTGAGGTGGTGTGGTGGTGATGTAGCCTTCTGTTATCTGGTGGTGGTGGTGGTCTTGGCCTCAGTCATCTGGTGGTGGTGGTCTTGGCTTCCAGGCATCTGGGTTAGTGTTGATGTAGCCTTCTGTCATCTAGTGGTGGTGGTGATGTAGCCTCAGTCATCTGGTGGTTGTGATGTAACTTCCAGGCATCACAATTGTTGGTGTGTAAGCCTTCTGTCATCTGGTGTTGGTGGTGATGTAGCCTCAGTCATCTGGTGGTGGTGGTGATGTAGCCTTCTGTCATCTGGTGGTGGTGGTGATGTAGCCTTCTGTCATCTGGTGTTGAGGTGATGTAGCCTTCTGTCAGGTGGTGGTGGTGTGATGTAGCCTCAGTCATCTGGTGGTGGTGGTGATGCCTTCTGTTTCTGGTGGTAGTGGTAGCCTTCACAATAAATGGTGTTGGTGGTGGTGGCCTTCTGTCATCTGGTGGTGGTGGGTAGTAGCCTTCTGTCATCTGGTGGTGGTGGTGATGTAGCCTTCTGTCATCTGGTGTTGGTGGTGATGTAGCCTTCTGTCGAGGTGGTGGTGGTGATGTAGCCTCCAGTCATCTGGTGGTGGTGGTGATGCTTAGCCTTCTGTTTTCTGGTGGTGGTGGTGGTGGCGCCTTCTGTAAATGTCCTGGTGTTGGTGGTGATGTAGCCTTCTGTTTTCTGGTGGTGTGGTGGTGGAAGTAGCCTTCTGTGGGTGGTGGTGGTGATGTAGCCTCAGTCATCTGGTGAGGTGAGTGTAGCCTTCTGTCATCTGGTGGTGGTGGTGATGTAGCCTTCTGTCATCTGGTGGTGGTGGTGATGCCGGCCTTCCTGTTTCCTGAGTGGTGGTGGTGATGTAGCTGATAAATCTGGTGGGTGGTGGTGATGTAGCCTTCTGTTTTCTGGTGGTGGTGGTGGAAGTGATGGCCTTCTGTCATCTAGTGGTGGTGGTGATGTTACCTTCTGTCATCTGGTGTTGGTGGTGATGTAGCCTTCTGTTTTCTGGTGGTGGTGGTGATGTAGCCTTCTGTCATCTGGTGGTGGTGGTGATGTAGCCTTCTGTCATCTGGTGGTGGTGGTGATGTAGCCTTCTGTCATCTAGTGTTGGTGGTGATCTTAGCCTTCTGTCATCTGGTGTTGGTGATGTAGCCTTCTGTCATCTGGTGTTGGTGGTGATGCTTGGCCTTCTGTTTCTGGTGGTGGTGGTGATGCTTAGCTACTGTCATCTGGTGTTGGTGGTGATGTAGCCTTCTGTCATCTGGTGTTGATGGTGATGCTTGGCCTTCTCCTGTCATCTGGTGGTGGTGGTGATGTAGCCTCAGGCATCTGGTGTTAGTAGTTGATAGCAACCTTCTGTTTTCTGGTGTTGGTGGTGATGTGTAGCCTTCTGTCATCTGGTGTTGGTGGTGATGTAGCCTCAGGCATCTAGAATGGTGGTGGTGTAGCCTTCTGACACAGTGGTGGTGGTGGCCTTCCTGTCATCTGGTGTTGGTGGTGATGTAGCCTTCTGTCATCTGGTGTTGGTGTGATGTAGCCTTCTGTTTTCTGGTGGTGGTGGTGATGTAGCCTTCTGTCATCTGGTGTTGGTGGTGATGTAGCCTTCTGTCATCTGGTGTTGGTGGTGATGCTTAGCCTTCTGTTTTCTGGTGGTGGTGGTGATGTAGCCTTCTGTCATCTGGTGTTGTGGTGGTGATCGCGGCCTTCTGTCATCCTGGTGTTGGTGGTGATGTAGCCTTCTGTTTTCTGGTGGTGGTGGTGAAGCCAAGCGCCCTTCTGTCATCTGAGAATTTGGTGGTGGTGATGCTTGGCCTCCAGGCATCTGGTGTTGGTGGTGATGTAGCCTTCACAGTGTTTTCTGGTGGTGGTGGTGGAAGTAGCCTTCACCGATAAATGTCTGGTGGTGGTGGTGATGCTGGCCTCCAGGCATCTGGTGGTGGTGATGTAGCCTCCAGTCATCTGGTGGTGGTGATGTAGCCTCAGGCATCTGGTGTTGGTGGTGATGTGGCAACCTTCTGTCATCTGGTGGTGGTGGTGAAGTAGCCTCAGTCATCTGGTGTTGGTGGTGATGTCGCCTTCTGTCATCTGGTGTTGGTGGTGGTGGAAGTAGCCTCAGTCATCTGGTGTTGAGTGGTGATGTCGCCTTCTGTCATCTGGTGTTGGTGAATTTGAGTAGCCTCCAGTCATCCTGGTGGTGGTGGTGGTGTAGCCTCGTCATCAGTCTGTCCCTACTCTTCACTTCTGTAGGTTAGATGATATAAATAGTT